AAAAAGAAAAGGGAAGAAAATGGTCGCCAGACGGCAGCGTCAGCTGTCATTGCTTTTGAGCTCGTCTCCATGTCTGACTTCACAATAAGCGCAAGAACAACTTGATGATCAAGGTTAGCAACACAGTACAATCAAATTGGATCAGTACAGTTATACATTCGAATATGAGTTCATGTAAGAAATCAGTTATCGACATAAGCAAATGTTCAAATAAAAGATCGAACCTACCTGTCAAGGTACGCTACGCACTTCCCAGTTCCGCAAGTTGTTCGGAAGAGGAGGTGGTGGTGGTTCGTAATTGTGATGTAGATAATAGTAACTTCTCACCGTTAAACTAAAACTAATAAAATAAGTCCGATGCACCACCACGGTTCAAACGGACTTCTGCAACCTCTACAGACAAGATTAAATTCTCAAATGCAATATCATTAATGCCCGATATATTTATTTACACACGATGAACATCAAATTCGTGAATCGTGTCGGAACCACTACATCAAGCTCTTCATGAATCTAGGCTACATATATACAACCCCATCAACAACTTTCGTAATCACAAATTACAACAAACAAGTCCTAAATGTATACAAAAGACAGATAAAAAAATTACATAGGAGCAATAGCAAAAACAAAAACACAAAACAAAAAAAACAAAAAGAATCTCAGATAGCAAGCATCCTAGTGGTAAAATGAAATCGATACCCACATATGTATTGAGCTGACGAACAAAGCTTGAGAAATTACTGTGCTTGAAGTGCCTCGGCAGTATCATCCTCGCAAATTCTATTGGGTCCCACACCACAAAGCTGTTATCTTTTTTACCCCAAGAGATTATGGAATCAAGAGAAGGATCATCCACCAAATCAAATGTCTTGCCCAGAAATGGCGGAATTGGAGTTTCATACAAGGACTCCAACGGGTGGGGTAAAGCCCGTAATCCCTCTCCGAACTCGGGTTTGGATTCGAATTCGGGTTCAAAGCAACCGAAACCTAAGAAAGGGGAAAACGGCGGCTCGGGAAATGCAGACGCCATTGATGAAGGCAAAGGAAAAGATAATGGAGTAGGAATTTTCTGATTATCATCAGAATCCATTACAAAATTTCAGTGGGATTTTTGAAGAAGGCGAAAAATCTTTGACGGTGGCGGATTGAATTGTGGGGCTGGTATATATAGGTATTGCCGACCGAAGACGCAACCAATAAATAAAATGAAAAAAAAAAAAAATGGGTAAGGCGGTGGAAAGTTGTGGTGGTTGCCTCCCACTTTCCTCCACTCCAGTAAACATCATCGCTTTACCCAGCTTCTATCTGCTAATTTATTTATTTTCAGGACCAATAAAAAAAAATATAATTTACGGATAGAGAGAAATATATGAGAAGATATTTTCTAGGGTTTTGAGGAGAGGGTGTTTTGTGTGACAGTTCAGTAGGCCCGCCGTCCGCGCTTTCCTGATACTGTTGGTGGTTTGAATTCGAAGGCGGCGACACCTGAGCCTGAGGTTTTCTCCTCCTCCTCCAGCCAATCAGGTTTTTTTTTGCTTCAGATATTTTTTATTTTTTGAGGGACCACACGGCAAATACTTTTTCTTCCGAATTAAGTAGTTTTACTGTGCTTTGCTGCCTTTATCAACGTCCTCTCTGGTCAACACACACGTGCAAATTGCGTGAGATTTGTTTTATTAAAAGTTGTTTTTATCTTTGAGTCCTTTTTTTAACTTTCTCTTACAATTACCTCCACAATTCATGCAAAATGTCTTGAATGCCCATTATTACAACCGAATAAGTTTTCAATAACATTTATTTATTTATTTTCCTCACAATATTTTTTAATATTGATTATTTCACCAAAACATATTTTCCATAAACGTATTCCTACGAGCATTTTCAAACATCAATAACTTTATATTTGAATTCACTATACGTCACAATATCGTGAAGTTCTGCGAGAGAAACCGACGACGAGATAAGACTGGAAAACCAAGGAAGAAGAAAGAGTAGGATGAGAAGTTCCGTCAAACTCCCGTTGCACTTCAAAATCGTTGCATACCATATTTTGAAGGCTCGATTTCTTGTTTATAACAAATTGCATAGTTATTGAAAATTAATCCCACCCCATATTTAAACCGCTAAATTATACAAAATTTGTTCTTTCGTTGTCGGAATTGTACAGTGGAATATTATGATTCGATAAATTTGCACGATTTTGAGGAATTGTACAATAGGAAAATTGTCAGAGATATGTTTTTTCTTATACATTCAATATCCAATAGAGAAGAAAAAGAAATACAAACTCTTTTAATGAAGGATATTCCATAATTTTCGAATGGGTAGAGAGTCAACTATAAGCAAAACTTAAAACGGAAAAACTACACTTTCTAAAGCATAGTATATGAAAACAATACGATCTAAAATCTCTTTATTTAAAGTGGGGGAATTGGGGGAGTTTCTAAGTCTTGAATAAAACATATAATTTTTTTTATTTTTTTATTACAATTTAAAATTTGTCGATTCCCAAGTATTGAATAGAACATATATTTTTTTATTATTTATTTTATTATAATTTAAAAAGAAAAAGGAAAAAAGAAATATAAAAATGGGCTGTAGAAAGGTAGAAGTAGCCCAATCCGCCTTCAATTCAACGTGAGCCAATTATCACATCTCCGCCGGCCCAACCCAGATAACGGTAACGTTCCGCTGCTGTAACGGGCCTTGCCCCTTTCCGTCGTCTTAACCGGGAAATAAGTACATCTCATTAGGCGCGTTGTCCACTGTTCCCAAATCACAATCATCGGAAACCCTATCTCTCGCCACTTTCTCTCTCTACCCCCCCCCCCCCTCTCTCTCTCTCTCTTATTCCGGCGACTCAAAGTTCGCGAATTGTATTTTTTTTTAAGGATATTTTTATTTCTTCTTGTACTATTAGAAATTCTTTGTTTGTACATGTACGTTTCAATTCGTTAACAGCTGGAGTTAGGGTTGCTTGTTCTCTGCGAACTTTTTGTAATACTCGTCAATTGAATAGTTTTTGCTACTAATCTTTGTATTGAGTTTTCAGTTTTTGTTAAAAATAAAAATAGATATTATTTTTGATTGCTGTAATAGTATAGGGCCGACGATGAACAATTGTAAAATAGGGTTAGGTTTTTCGTGATCTGTGATGGAAATGGAGAGTACGCGTAGAGCATTTGATAGATCTATGTCGAAGGAACCGGGACTCAAGAAACCTAGGCTCATCGAAGATCCCACAGCTCAAGATCGAATCTCCAATGGCCGTGGTGGATTGGTTCAAAGGCCGACCGTTTCGAACTCCGGCATCGGTGCAGGCTCGCGGGTCCAGAGCGGTGACTCTATGCGTGGGCCCTACCAGCACCAGGTAGCTCCGCAGTTGCATCAGGAGCTGGTGACTCAGTACAAGACTGCGTTAGCTGAGCTGACTTTCAACTCAAAGCCAATAATAACGAATTTGACGATTATTGCCGGCGAGAGTTCGCATGCTGCCAAGGCCATTGCAGCCACTATCTGCACCAATATTATTGAGGTGACTCTGATTTTTCACTTTTTATAGTTTTTGCTGGTAGCTTTAGTCCTATTTGATGCTACTCAAATTGTAAAGATGTATAGTTGTAAAATTAGTTGCGGTTATTGTATATTTTGCTTTATGATGGTGTGTCAAGAAGTACCAATTTTTTGCCTTTGGAAGGTTTTGAATTTGCTTTGAAATTCTTCCAATCATACCCATCGATGCATCTTCTATCAGAACTATTGATTTGAAGATATGGAGTGACAGCGCCAAAAAGGCTACATGATTAAAATTTGACTAACTATTGCCACTACCACAACCAGTAATAAGTGGAATCCAATTAATATACAACTAATCGCATCCATCTCTGATGGTAAAGATGTGAGGAAGCTCTAATCGAATACTTTACATTGTTGTTACAACTTACAAGCTAAGTTGCTGTTGTATTTGGTTATTGAAATAGTTCGAATTGTATTTCTTTGATATTGTGGCCGCTTGGACTCATCAATTGGCATTGTTTTATGATTCTTTAGTTTTATTATGTCCAGAGTCTGTTCCTTATTTGTTTGAGTGATCAGCAATTTCAGCGTAGAGTAATTTTTATATTCTCTCTTGTAATAGGGGGTTTTTGCCTCTTGTATTAAGGGGTTTCTGCAGCCTCATATGGTAGGAGTTGATCATATGTATGGTACTATGGATATTCTTACTTGTAGAATTGTTTGTGTTAGTGTGACTGTCTTGTTATGTAAGTGCTGCTTGTCTGTGATTGCATTTTTTTCTTATCTATATCCTGTGGGTTAAAATACAATGCTTCTTAGATGTTTAGATCTGTCATTGAGATGATTGTTCAAAGCCAAATACATTGTAATTTCATTCACGATTTGATTAAACCAATGTAAACTGGATGGCGTACGGCTATTAATCGTATTTTTCATCTTTGTGGATTTTTTATTGCATATGTTCCAACTACTGTTCTGATTTTAAGGATAAATCAGATATTCAAAAGTGGTAAAGAGCATATTTGGTGTTGATGGTGATAATTATGTCTCTAATTATTGAAGAAAACGTGTAAGGGGTTTTGTATCGACCCACATTTCAGCTTTAATCTGGTCAGAATTGTCACTTCAGAATGTTCTGTGCCCCTCTGTCATTGGATAAATTTGGGAACTTCAACAATTGAAATCCGGTTCCCTGTTGTACTTTAGCTCCCCTTCTTTTCTGGCTTGTTGTTTTGCACCCCATTATTTGTTACAGTTGTTATTTTGGTATCCAAACTTCTATTTGTGGAAATGTTACCTGATCTATGGAATTCATTTACAGGTTCCTAGTGAGCAAAAACTGCCTTCTCTGTATTTATTAGACAGTATTGTGAAGAACATCGGGAAGGATTACATAAGATACTTTGCTTCCAGATTACCTGAGGTTAGATTTTGCGATATCGTTTGTTGTTTGGCATTACCCGAGAAACAAAATTGCACCATTAAGTATTCATCACTCCTTGTATATCCTTTCAAGTTTCAATATATACTACTCTATTATCACTCAATTTCATGAGGGATTTAATGGTGACAAAAGTGGGATTCCCTCCAATCGCTAATAATTTATTTCCTGTTAGTTGGGGGAACTGCTTTTTGGGTGATGCCTCGTTGTCTTAATTTTTTCATTATTATTCCCATAGGTGACACTTTTGGGTACATTTACCAGGTTTTCTGCAAGGCATACAGGCAGGTTGAACCTGCGATACATCAGGGTATGCGCCACCTTTTTGGAACCTGGAAAGGAGTCTTCCCTCCTCAGACACTTCAGATGATTGAGAACGAGCTTGGATTCACTACTGCGGCAAATGGTTCACCATCAAGAACAACATCTAGGCAGGACTCACAAGCTCAACGTCCTGCTCATAGCATTCATGTAATCCTAAGTATTTTGAGGCAAGGCGACTGCAGACCA